GTGCTCACACAAAAAACACAACCCCGGCCCCAAGAAAGAAAGAAAGAAAACGGATAACCCAAGGGAGGGATGGGAGGACGGCACGCCGCCACCACAGAAACCAAGAAAGAAAGAAAGAAAGAAAACAGACCCAAGGGAGGGATGCGGATGGGAGGACGGCACGCCGCCACCACACAGGGATTTTAAGGAGAGGAGTGTGGTGCTAGCCATCGCCTACCCTAACCCTTGGTCGTCTGCCTCTTTCTATCTCCCACAGAAACCAATAAATAAATAAATAAAACGGACACACCAAACAAGGGGTGGGAGAAGGACAGGGTCCCCACCTCTGCGCGAGCAGGATCTTGTAAGGACGATCAGGGACGCAGGGGAACGGGAGCGGGGAGCGCATCGCGACACGGAGGGGGGCTGGGCAGGGTTCACCCACACGACAGGGTCCCAGGGATTCCTCTCTCGTATAGGACAAAGTTGCACCCGGCAGCACGGGGGCAGGCGCGGGCCTCCTACTGGTTGCGCTCTCCTAGTTCTCCTGCTACTGACAAAAGGGACAGCGACAGGTTCGCAGCACGGTGGACTCCCTATTCCACTGGCGATCTCTCTCGACTAGCGACCTTCCTCCGGCTTCTCACTGGCAGTCTCTCACTATCCCGGGCACACTGACAGAGGCGGCCAAGGCTCACGCCGTGGGTGGCAGAGGCGGTGATAGGAGTCTCCCACTCTGTGGGCCTCGCTAGTGGTGCGGCCTACGCGTGTCCTCGCCCTTGCGGTCTTGAGAGGGAAGGGGAAGGGGCTGTGTGTCTGTGTATGTGTGTGTGTGTGCATGTGTGTGTGTGTGTGTGTGTGTGTGTGTGTGTGTGTGTGCATGTGTGTGTGTGTGTGTGTGTGTGTGTGTGTGTGTGTGTGTGTGTGTGTGTGTGTGTGTGTGTGTGTGTGTGTGTGTGTGTGTGTGTGTGTGCAGGCGCTGTGCAAGCCGCCCTGAACAACTACTTTGTGAGCGCTAAGAATGCAAAATTTCTTCTTCGGCCGACATCTTGGCGATCCGACTCTGGCTCTGGCAATGGTCCTCGCCGCGGCGGCCTGGCGGAGGCTCGGAGGCGCGGCGCTCGGCGGCGCCGCGGCGCTGGCTCTGCAGCAGGGCGGCGGCGGCACGCATTGCCGGACCGATCGGCGGCCGCTGCCGCTGCTCTCGCGGCTGGACAGCAACAAGCACCCGGACGACGAGAAGGTGTTGGGAGTGGACCCGTCTGGCAAGTCGGTGGTCTTGAGGACGCTGAAGAACGGGGCGATGCGGGTCCGCGTGATGGACTGGGGCGCTACCATCACCTCAGTGCGTGTGCCCGACAAGGATGGCGTTGTCGGCGAGGTGGCGCTCGGCTTCGACGAGCTGGCGCCGTACGTGGACGGGAGGAGCCCGTATTTTGGCTGCGTCGCGGGCCGGTACGCCAACCGGATACAGGGAGGCCGCTTTCAGCTTGACGGGCAGGGCTACACCCTCGTGACCAACAACGGCCCGAACGCCCTCCACGGCGGGCTGGTCGGTTTCGACAAGCGGCACTGGGTGTGCCAGGCGGCGAGCGACACGTCGGTGACGCTCGCGCTCCTCTCGGAGGACGGTGAGGAGGGGTACCCCGGCAACCTGCTCGCCAAGGTCACCTACTCCCTTCCGACAGAGGGCGAGCTGCGGATGGAGTACGAGGTGGCGCCTCCACGACGCGTCCACGACGCCTGCCAGACTCCGAGACACCTCCCAGACACCTCCCAGACGCCTCCCAGACACCTCCCAGACACCTCCCAGACGCCTCCCTGACACCTCCCAGACACCTCCCAGACACCTCCCAGACACATGTTACTGAATCCGTTCATCCTCCAGGCGGTGTGCGACAAGCCGACGGTGGTCAACCTGACCAACCACTCGTACTGGAACCTGCAGGACGGCGGGGCGAGGCGACGCTTCCTAGACACACTTTCCGACACCTCCGGGCACTCGTCTGGAACCTGCTAGGGGGGCGGTGCGAGGGGAGTCGAGGACGGCCTGGCCGGTCGGCCTCGCGCCACCTCGCGCCGCCTCGCGCCGCCTCGCGCCACCTCGCGCCACCTCGGGTCCCCTCGGGTCCCCTCGGGTCCCCTCGGGTCCCCTCGGGTAGGTCGGTCAGGCAGCACGAGGTCCAGCTATAACCCTAACCCTAACCCTAACCCTAACCCTAACCCTAACCCTAACCCTAACCCTAACCCTAACCCTAACCCTAACCCTAACCCTAACCCTAACCCTAACCCTAACCCTAACCCTAACCCTAACCCTAACCCTAACCCTAACCCTAACCCTAGGTCGGTCAAGCAGCACGAGGTCCAGCTCGCCGCGCGGCTCTACACGCCGGTCGACGAGACCTCGATCCCGACCGGCGAGGTGCGGGCCGTCGGCGGTGCGATGGACCTCACCTCGCCTACGCCGATCGGGAAGGGGCTCGCGCAAGCGGACGGCGGGATGGGGTACGACCACAACTACGTGCTCACCTCGCCGCCGCGCCAAGACGGGCTCCGCGCGTGCGGCCGCGTCTACGAGCCGACGAGCGGCCGCTGCATGACTGTGACGACGGACCAGCCCGGCGTCCAGTTCTACACGGCCGGCTATCTGGACGGCTCGCTCGAGGGGCGAGGCGGTGCTAAGTACCACAAGTTCGCGGGCTTCTGCCTCGAGACGCAGCACTTCCCCGACAGCCCAAACCACCCGCACTTCCCCTCGACGGTGCTGCGGCGCGGCGAGGTGCGCTCGCCGCGCCGCGCCGCACTGCGCCGCCCGCCCCAGTCGAGGCGCCAGCCGCTCACTCGCGCACCGTCGCGCATCAGGTGTACCGCACCACCACAGTCTACAAGTTCGACGCCTCGCCGTCTCCGCCGACGGGCCCCATCGCATGACACCCTGAATCTCTTCCCTCTGTCGGCGCCCAGGGGCGCCGACAGAGTGGGTACACGCGAGCTTTGTGCACTCTCCCCCTCGGCGAGACTGGCACAGGGCCAACGCACAGCGGGGCTTGCTCGCTCTTGTGCTCACAGTCTGCAATCCAAGCAGCGCAGCTTTGAGTTTATTTTTGGAGTCCCGACTGTCGAGTCAACGGTCGCAGCGCGTCGGTCACACACGCGACACACGCACTCCCACCCCACACAAGCACAACAGGTCAACAGCTCGCTCGCGTCTTGTACTACGTCTCTCGCGGATATTACAGTATTGCGTTCCTAAGCGGCTCGAGCCAGCCCACAGCCCAGGCGCTCAAATCCCACCCCCAGCCTTCGGCGTCACCGTCGACACCATCCTTTGCAGCTGCGAAAACGCTCGCGGCGTCGCGCACAGCCGGCGGACAATCGGCGGCGCGAGTCGTCGCTGTGAGCGAGGACCAGCTACCGCAGCAGGAGCCCGGCTTGAAGCTCGGCGCGAGCCTAGCTTGAGGGTCCACAGCTTAGGCCACCGGGCCTCTTGCAGGAGCGACTGGCGAGGGGCGCGCGCACCGCAGGCCAAAGGGGAGGCCGCGCAGTGCAGGCGACGCGAGCCCGTCGGGCAGGAACATCGACTGCACGTCTTGCTTGGTGGTCACAACGTCGTTGGTCGCGGCGAACGCCCAATACTTGCGCGCTGCAACGTCGATGAGCACCTTGAAGAAGCCCGATGGGATGCGGAAGGGCGAAGTGGCGCCCGCGCCGCACGGCTGGGTCGTCGGCGTCTCGTCCTGGGGCAGGTCCGGGTCGTTGGCGCCGGGCGCTATGCAGCGGTTCGAGCCATCAAAGAGGGGTCCCGTGAGGATGATCGCCTACCGTCAAACTCCCAGCCGTCGACGCTGACCCGGTGAGGGAGGGTGGGGAGGGCGGTCGCCTCGTCGTGCTCGATGGCGTAGGCGCTAGTCGTAAACTCGAGATGCTTCCAGTATATCTCGTTGAAGGTGCGCCCCTGCGGCCAGAGGTTGCACATCGAGAAGGACGACGCCTCGCCCGCGCCCCACAGCGCCGCCTCGCGACTCGCCACCATGTGCCCCCGATCAAAGCCGCTCAGCGAGTAGTAGGCGTCGTCGTTGGGGCCGCAGCGCGCGCCTGGGCCACACGCGCCGGCAGGGAGGCTGCCCAGAGGAGCGCAGTTGAAGAAGGCGCTCGCCGGCCGCTCGCCGAGAGGGTTGCAGCTCCTGCCGGCCCTGAGCACAGCAACCACGGCCCCTCCAAGCTCGGCGCTCACAAAGGAGCCGACGTTTGGCGAAGGCGTGAGCCACTGTCGCACGAGGCCCGTCTCGGCGAAGTCGAACGTCCCCACCGCCGTGTCGCCGTGCCGCGAGTAGAGCCAGTAGGTTTGCGCAGGCGGCAATGTGTCCGGGCAGCGGTAGGACGAGGGGTCCTGCCGCCTACCGTAGCAGCCGTCACCCCAGGTGCCTGCTGCAGCCGCTACGCCGGCACCGACACCGATGGCGGCGCCGGCAGCGCCGGCAGAGCCCTGATCAGATGGCGGTGGCGGAGAAGGAAACGGCGGCGGCGGTGGCGAAGGCGGGGGCGGCGAGGGTGATGGTGGTGGTGGCTCCGCCTTGAGCATGTCCTCGATCAGATCTGTTGGCCTGCTAAACTGATCGAGAACAGGGATGCCGTCGAAGACGCCAAAGGGCTTGTTAACCGCATGCTCTATCTTATTGCTGCCCTTGTGCAGCAAGTCACCCAATCCAAAGCCGCGCGCCAGCAGACCCCAAGGCCCGTCAGCCTCGTCGTCGGCAGCAGTCTCCTCCGCCGCCTGCAAAGGCCGAGGCAGAAGGGCGAGCGGAAGCAGCAGCAGCAAAGCGGCGGCAGCTGCGACGGACGCGTTGCGTCTGAGCCGAGGCGGGTGCAACATGTCTCGTGCGCGGCACTCGAGGGTAGGTTCTCGAGGTTCGCGAGGGGGAATCCTTCGCCCAGCGCCCCAAGCGGCCCCCCCCCAAAAACGCCCGTCCGTCGCAAAAAAATATCGACATGTCCGCGTCATCTCTTTCTTTCTGGGCTACCGACGCCCCCGCCCAGTTGTACCATCGTTTATGTGACCTTGGGGAGAGCACTACACACGACGTGGGTACTAAGTAGGGAGATCCATAGTCAGCCAACTTCGCCGCACACACACCGGTTCAGAAAGATAAGAAAGAAAAATATGAGGAGAGGGTCGGCGTTAGGTCCCCACCTGCACACGACACCAGTTCTTGCCCAGCCCAGGTGTATTTTATTTTTGCTTTGGCGGACCTCATCCTGAAATTCTGCAAAAACCTGACCGGCCCCTGCGGTGCCCCTACCTAGGCCGGTCGCTCCCCCGTCTTTGGGCCCTGTTGAGTCGTTTCGGAAGTTGAAGTTGGCGCATCACAAAGAACCCAAATCCAACCCTGCCAACCGAGCAAGCCCATGGGGGACGCGAGGTCTTGCTCCACCTTCTCGGCGCTCGCGTCGCCCAACCTGAGAGCCTCATCCGCCATGCCGGGGCACATCTTGACCGGAGCCGGTCACATGTCCATCGTGCCCAAGACGGGGCACGGTCGACTCGACCGCGGCCGATGGCACCGGCCCAACGGCCGACCAAGATTTTACGCCTCCGAACGCCGGGCCGGTGAGGTGGCGGGTCGGGCGACACGGAAAATCGGTGGCTGACAACGACTTTTTGAGGCCATCGGTTTGAGGTCTGCAGACATTTTCTGGATGATCTCGCATTTCCCGAGGCGTAATCGCAGATCCAGACGGCCCAGCAGGTGGGCGCTGCAGGCGAGCCGCCTCACATCCTTCGCCCCCCCCGTCGCTCACGCTGCCTCTGAAGCACCGGACCACCCCCCCCGCGCCCAGGCGGCCTAGCTGCCGCGGGCTCCACCCACGCGGGCCACCATCAGCGCCGCCCGACGGCTCAGAACCTCTCTCTTTAGGTCCCACAAAAGGCGGCGAGCGAGCGGCGAGGCAGATGAATCGAGCTCTGGACGCATGCCGCGAGAGCTGTGAGGGTCGCAGCTCGGCCTCCATCTTGCCCGGTAGTGGCGCGTCGGCTTGCCGGCTCACGGGGGTCACTGCCCCTAGGTGCCGCCTCACCTCGCCTCTATGCACCCTTCACCCTCTAGCGCCTCACCCTGCCCGGTGCCGTGGTAGTGGCGGTGTCAGCCATGCTGGACCGGCGGCAGCGAGGCCGACGGGCGTGGCTGCGGCGACAACGGCGGCTTGGCCCGTGACGGCGACGGCGCTGACGGCAGAGCAGCTGCGGCCGGCACGGGCGGGTGCGGCCGAGCAGCGCGGCGCTCACAGCAGGCGGCCGGCGTGGCGGCGGCGACGGCGCCGCACGAGGAAGCGGTGGCGCAGCCGCGCATGACAGGTCCGGCGCGTGTCGAGCAGCGAGGTGGCGCGCCGCGCTGCCGACGCGCCCCCAGGCCGGAGGCGGCCGCCGCGTGCCGAGCCGCGGGCTGTTGGTGCTTACAGTCTGCGGCGGCGGCGCCGCCGCCGCGGAGCGAGGCAGCGGCGGCGGCGGCGGCGGCGGCGGCGGCGGCGGGGGATGCGGCGGCTGCACGTTGTGCCTCGAGGCGTCGCTCGCGGCGCTGGTGCGGCGCGTGGTTGGCTGACGAGGTTGCGCGCGCACGGCGCACGAGGGTGTAGTCACGTCCCTCGGCTCTCGCCACCGCTGTCGCCGCGCGCTCCGCGTTCGTTGTCGCCGGCGCTGCCCGCCTCGAGCCACTGCGGCCACTGCCGCGCGACGTTGCGCCGCGCCATGCTGGCCGTCGCTCTCTCGACGTTGTGGAGGAGGCTCTGTCCCACGTCGAGAGGAGGCGTTCCCGCGGTGATATTGACCCAGCTCTGTTGTCTCTAGGCTGCGTCGGCACGGGAGGCGCTGCGGGCGGGAAGGTGGAGCGGGCTGCGGAGCGGCAGATTAGTGGCAGTGGCGACGGGCGGGGCGGCAGCGAGCAGGGTGGCGAGTGAGACGTTGGAGAGGCGGGGCTGGGGAGGCTGGTGCCGGTGCCACTACAGGCGGTGCAGGTGCGGTGTGCTACTGTAGTGCTCGCTCACCGGAGCGAGCGCGGCGGTCGGACCGTCCTGGCAAGGGCCGCTGACCAGGACGGTCGCCAGGAGTCGGCTTGCACCGCGAGAGCGGCGAGGCGGGGGGAGAGGCTTGGTGAGGGTGTCCGCGGTGGTGCCGGTGTGTTAGTTAGGGGGAGAGGCGCGGGCCGGGGGAGCGGGAGGGGGTGGGGGGGTGGAAAATTTCGATACCCTAAGGTGCCCTGGTGATCCTGGGTTAGCATCGTCTCTTCTGAGCCCGCTCTTGATGGGTTGGAAGCGTTTTCATAGCGAATTCACGCCGATTTTGCCATACGGACGTCCCTGGCGCGCGCTCTTGAAGGCCTCATCCTGGGATGGTGCTCGCCAGCGTGAGTTCATACAGTGCTGCGAGCTGGCCTAAGGCCGGACCTTACGACGGTCCAGCGCTGGGCAGCGTGATGGCTCTTACTCGAGGCGCGACATGAGTGTACGAGGACCTCAACGTCTCGGTTTGGCGAACCAGCATGAGGAGCGGAGCCGCTGTAGCTCCTCCCTGCAGCTTGCGCGTCGCGGTTTGGCCGACGTCCCATCCACCGCGCATACTGCGGCGGCTCTCCAGCTCAAGAAGGCTGCGCTCGACCACCACATCGCCCGAGTCAGTGGTCCGGACGCCCCGCTGAGCCTCGCGCCGCAGTGCAGCCAGTTTGCGCGGCCGTGATGCGCGAATCGAACCGGTGCGATGTTGTTCGGCACTCTAGATGGCCTGAACATGCTTGCGTTCAAGTCTTGAGGTCTGCGCTTAAACTTGAAAATTTAATAAAATCGGGTCCGACCGGCCTACCCTACCTACCTACCTACCTACCTTGAGCACTTGAGCACTGGATAGGGTCGGTTCCGCATGGTACGGGACCCCTCGATCGTCTCGCCCACCCTCACTGGTGTGTTCATTGGGGGGGGTCATCACAAACACGGTTACAGGATTGAGGTGCACGCTGCAGAAGCAGTGTCGTCCCCCCTCTCCCCGACGGCGATGGCGGTGTGACCGATCGAGCTACAAGAGGAGCTTGTTCAGCAGGATCCGGGATAGTCAGATGCACTACCTCACTGCACACTGGGCATGAGACCACCGTACGACGCACCCATCACCGTCTCGGATTTGTCTACTCGAGCGGACGGACGGAAAAACACCCCCCTTCTATGCCTGACCCTGGCCATGGCCTCTCTGGGGGTGAGCTGGGCCGGCCGCCTCCGGGTCCGCCACTCGCACGATGGGCTCGCGTCCGGGAGAGCATCCGAGACCCGCGGTTGTCCGCTCGCTGGGCGCGACCCACATGGAAATCCACTGCACACAGATCTGTGCTTTTGGCGCCTATTGCTCGCTCTCTGTGCAATCGCAACGCCAGAGGCCGTGCTTGGAGAGTGTGTCGCAGTGCTGCTACGTCAGTGGATTGAGCCGCGACGCAGGCTCCATCGGTGAGCTGCGGCGGCGCACCGGCCGCTCCATGCATGCTCTCCGGCGAGCCGTCGCAAACGCGTTTCCGTCCGCCCGTTTCATCGAGTTTGCCCGCGTGGTAAAATGCAATCGAATCTGCCCGAGTGGTCAAGTAAAACTTTGCCTTTCGTAAAAGTTGCCCGAGTGGTCTGTGGGGAAAAAACGAAAATGGGGGGGGGTTTTTTGGGGGGCGGGGAAAAAATTTTTCCTTAATATTATTAAAGGAAGCTTTTTGCCGGGGGGGGGCCCCCCCCCCCCCCCCTCCCCCGGGCCCACTCCCTGCCCTCTCCCGCCACGCACTCCGTCAGAGCCCCCTCCCCTCTTGCACAACAGGAATTTTGACAATTAACAAGATGGAATTTTGACAATTAACAGTAGTATGTCTTGAAGTTGCTTTGTATGCTGAGCCTGAATGGATGAGCCCCCCCCCCCCCCCCTCACCGCCCGCTCCGGCTGGTGTGGCGCACACCCTCTCCACTGTCTCTCACAGGTGATAGGAAGGCACGGCTCTCAATGAGAACGATGGGCTTGCCCATCCCGGAGTGGTTCGATCCCACATGAATCCGAGACGGTGACGGGTGTTGTCTCGGTGATCTCAGGCCCAGTGAGGTAGTGCATCAGACTATCCCGGATCCTGCTGACCAAGCTCCTCTTGTAGCTCGATCGGTCACACCGCCATCGCCGTCGGGGAGAGGGGGGACGACACTGCTTCGGCAGCGTGCACCTCGATCCTGTACCGTGTTTGTTATGACCCCCCCCAATGAACATACCAGTGAGGGAGGGCGAGACGATCGAGGGGTCCCGTACCACGCGGAATCGGCCCTATCCAGTGCTCAAGTGCTCAAGTGGAATCGAACCACTCCGGGATGGGCAAGCCCATCAATGGTTAATTGTCAGAATTCCTGTTGTGCAAGAGGGGAGGGGGCTCTGACGGAGTGTGTGGCGGGAGAGGGCAGGGAATGGGCGCAGGGGAGGGGGGGGGGGGGCTCAGCCGTGCAAAAAGCATTAATTAATAATAGTAATGAAGAAATAATGCTCGGCCGTTCATGAAGTCCGTCTCGATCTGGAGGAGACGGGTCAACCCCGTGAGGACCAGATCAGGTTCACATAGTCGTAGCCGGAGGGGATGTTGACCTTTAGCTCTTGGGGCAACATTTCCGCTTTGGTTTTTTCCGCACTGACCACTCGGGCAACTTTTACCAAATGCAAAAGTTGCACCTTACCATTCGGGCTACTTCGATTGCATTTTACCACTCGGGCAAACTCGATGAAACGGGCGGACGGAAACGCGTTTGCGGCAGCTCGCCCGAGAGCTATGCATGAAGCGGCCGGCGCGCCACCGCAGCTCACCGATGGAGTGTGCGGAGCGGCCCAATCCACTGGCGCAGCAGCATCGCGACCCATTCTCCAAGCACGGCCTCTGGCGTTGCGATTGCACAGAGAGCGAGCAATAGTCGCCAAAAACACTGATCTGTGTGTAGCGGATCTCCATGGCGGTCGCGCCCAGCGAAGGGACAACCGCAGGCCTCGGATGCTCGCCCGGAAGCGGACCCACCGTGCGAGTTGCAGACCCGGAGGTGGCCGACCCAGCTCACACCCAGAGAGGCATGCCCAGGGTGTTGGAGGGGGCCGCGAGCGTTTTCGAGCATGGCGTCCGCCGCCCGCAAGCGCGCCCGCACCGACGAGGCTGTGGCGGTCGCGGATGGCTTCGAGGCGCCCCTCTTTGGCTCGCGCGTCTTCGGCCAGGTCACGACGCTGCCGCTCGAGGGCGAGGACGGCCCTCTGGCAGCGAGCAACGTGTACGGCGTCGTGAGCGATCGCGCGGGCGCCTGGTATGTCACCACTGAGAAAGCGGTGCTGCACGTCTCTGCGGCCGGCCGCGTGCGCAGCGTGGCAACGGAAGGCGTCAGCCTCCGCGGCATCGCCATTAGCCCGGACGGCAGCGCTCTGTTTGTGGCGGACTGCGGCGGCAACAAGATCCTACAGGTGGAGGCTGCGGCTGGCGCGGTGACGACGGTGGCAGGCGGCACCGTGGGAAGCGCTGATGGCGTGGGCGGCGCGGCGCAGTTCTACGGCCCAGTCGGCGTCGCCATTAGCCCCGACGGCAGCGTGCTGTTTGTGGTGGACAGCTGGAACAACAAGATCCGGCGGGTGGAGGTGGCGACGGGCGCGGTGACCACGGTGGCGGGCAGCGGCTCTCGCGGCAGCGCGGACGGCGTGGGCGGCGCGGCGCTGTTCAGCTACCCATGCGGCGTCGCTATCAGCCCGGACGGCAGCGCTCTGTTTGTGGTGGACCACCTCAACCACAAGATCCGCCGGGTCGAGGTGGCGACTGGCGCGGTGACCACGTTTACGGGGAGTGGCACTAGCGGCAGTGCTGACGGCGTGGGCGGCGCGGCGCAGTTCTACGGCCCATACGGCGTCGCCGTCAGCCCGGACGGTAGCGCGCTATTTGTGGCGGACCGAAGCAACCGCAAGATCCGCCGCGTTGAGGTGGCGACGGGCGCTGTGACCACTCTCGCGAGCAGCGGCACTCGTGGCAGCACTGACGGCGTGGGCGGCGCGGCGCAGTTCCGCCACCCATTCGGCGTCGCCATCAGCAAAGACGGCCGCGCTCTTCTGGTTGGCACGAGCGACTCCCTCCGCCAGGTCTGCGTGTCGGCGCCTCCTCCGCCTCCCTCCTTCGCGCCGATTGTGGTGCCGCCCTCGACCCTCGCGGCAGACCTCGGAAAGATGTGGGGCGACGCCACTCTCCCAGAGGGCAAAGTCACCTTCGTCGTCGGCGATGACGAGGAGCGCCTCGAGAAGGTGAGCAAGAACCTGCTCTGCATTCGGTCCGTGTTCTTTCGGACCATGTTTGGCATTGGCATGAAGGAGCGCGACGCCGCCGAGATCACGGTGCGCAACACCGACCTCGCCACCTTCACCGCCCTCGTCCGCTACCTCCTCACCGACCAGCTCGACCTCGGCGAGGGGGAGGGCGGCAGAGCGCAGCGCGCGCTCGACCTGCGGCAGCTGGCGCAGATGTACCAGGTGCCGCGCCTCGAGCTGCTCTGCGCGCAGGCGCTGCAGGAGAGCGTCGGGCCGGCGAGCGCCGTGCCACTGCTCGAGGCGGCGCACGCGATGGGCGACGGGCGGCTCCTCGCGCAGTGCCGCCGCTACGTGGCCGACAACGCCGCCGAGGTGCGGGCGAGCGGCGGCGTGGAGCAGCTGCGCGACCTGGGCGTGGCCAAGGGGCTGCTCGGCGACGCGCTCGACCAGGTGGCGGAGCTCAAGGGAGCGGTGGCGGCGCGCGAGGGCGGTCTCACGCAGGGCTGAGGTGTGTTTTTCACATTCTTTGTGGCCGACCGCAGCGGCGCGCGAAGCCAAGAGAGCGCCGCGTAGAGCGCCGTAGGTGGCGCCCGTCGGCGGTGCGCCGCCGGCCGGCGCCGCCCAGCGCCGCGGGCGAGACGACCTTGTTTTGTTTACAGTTGGCAGTTGCATGTGAGGGCGTGGTTTGTTTTGAGTCTTACTACGTGCGTATATACGCTCGCGTGCCTGCGCCATCCCCCGAATCCATTTCATAGCCAACAAGACCGGACTGTTTCTTTTTTTACACGAAAATCGTGCCTCGACGCGCCCGCTCGCCATGCACCTGATGTACTACCTGAGCGAGAGCGGGGAGCGGGTGTACACGCTCAAGGCGCGCGCGGCCGCCGCGCCCGCCCTCTCCTGCGCCGCAACTGACCGCCCTCCCCCCTCTCTCGCGTGCCGCAGAAGGAGACGCCAGCGGGCAAGCCCACCGAGTCGGCGCACCCGGCGCGGTTCTCGCCCGACGACAAATTCTCGAAGCACCGCATCATCTGCAAGCGCCGCTTCGGGCTGCTGCCCATGCAGAGGGCCAAGGAGCCATTGTAGCCACGCGCGACTTGTTTTTGTCGTCTACCGCATGACTGGTGTGGAGAGTGTGTTGTCAGCGATGTAGGGCTAGCGCGAAGTGGGGTATAGGAGAGCCTGGGTGGCGGACGGTGGCACCGACGGCCGTATGTTCTTTTTCACAAGGACGCGACAAGCCACAAGTTGGTAGGAGATAGATACGTCCCGCCGGCCCCGGGCCCCGGCACAGACAGAGAGACGTGTGAGACGAGGGAGAGGCACGTACGGCACACGCGCACAGTCCTGAGTGCTGAGAGTCCTCTCAGTCGGCACTCTCCCCCGACTCCGCTTCACAGGCGGGCGAGTCCGGAGCGGTGCCAGCGCAGGGCGGCCTGGGAAAGAAACCTCTCAAGCAAGCACGGCGCTCGGCGCTCGGCGGTGCAACGGATGCTGTTTTCTTAAACTTTTATTCTCCGGTAACCCGCACATACACACCAAAAACACAACAAAATCTCTCTTGAGCACTTGTGAGCACTGGATAGGGTCGATTCCGCATGGTACGGGACCCCTCGATCGTCTCGCCCTCCCTCGCTGGTGTGCTCATGGGTGGGGTTCATAACAAACACGGTACAGGATCGAGGTGCACGCCGCTGAGGGACCCCAGAGGGTAGATCGAGCGGTGTCGTCGTGTCGTCCCCCCTCTCCATCATCTCACTGGGAGACGTCGGCGGTGATGGCGGTGTGACCGATCGAGCTACAAGAGGACCTTGTTCAGCAAGATCAGGGCCCGGGCCGAGCAGTTCCTCACTTCCTCACTGGGTGAGCTTCAGTCTCAGGCCCCCAAGCCCTTCACCCATCGGCTCATGTGGATTCGAACCACCGCCGGAATGGAAGCTTCCTGCTTCCATCTGAGATTAATTGTCCATTTTCCTCCTGTGCAAGAGCGGAGAGGGCGCTCGGACGGCGCACGTGGCGGGAGAGGGCAGGGAAAGGGCGCGGGGGAGGGAGGGGGAATCTCACCCTCTACATACCCCAAAACACAACTCTCTCTCTCTCTCTCAAATTCAACAACAACAACCCGCTGTGGTCTGTGCCGACAGAACGACGACGGCGGAGGGACGGGGTAGAGGATGTATGTAGAGTGATGAGTAATCTGTGATCTGTAAGGGTCCCCCCGCCCGCAGGCGCATTTTGTATACCGAGGCGGTGCCCGCGGTGCCGAAGTCGGACCTTACGACAGCGATTGTAGATCCCTGGGCGAGGGTGATGGCGTCCCTGTCGGGAGGGGGGCTGTCTGCAGTGGTGGTCTACCGAGTGATGAGTGTACAGTGGGTTGCGGGCATTAAGAAAACGTAGCATTAAGAAACCACACTCTGCGCGATTTCCGCGAAAATCTAAGAATGCCACGGCGCGCCACAGGCGCGGCCCCGAGAAAAGGCTAGATCGGACACCAACCACCAGGCACGAGTGTGATTTTTTCTCTCTCTCGAGTGTGTGAATGGGTGCCCAGCTCAAACTGTTCGGTTGTAGCTGCGGCCGCTTGCGCTTCCCGGCCTCGACGGGATTTGTCCATTTGCCTTTGTCTCGGGTGTCTCGGATTTATTGTATTGTAGATCTCAAAGCGCTTGCCCAATTAAAATTCTTTTTCGCCTTGCCTGTCGCGCAAAAAAAGAAAGAAAACAGCCAACCCAAGGGAGCGAGGGAGGGATGGGAGCACGGGAGCTGTAAAGAAAGAAAGAAAGAAAACGGACAACCCAAGGGAGGGATGGGAGGACGGCACGCCGCCACCACACAGGGATTCTAAGGAGAGGAGTGTGGTGCTAGCCGTCGCCCACCCTAACCCTTGGGCGTCTGCCTCTTTCTATCTCTCTTCGCAGTCCCTCGCCGATTCTCGCCGCAACCTTCATGCCACCTCGCGGTCGTCCCACTCTCGTCGTTCTCCCTCCTGTCGCTTCCTCCTCTGTCGCGTCGCTCTCCTCTGCCTCGTCCTGCGACGCCGCCGCCGCCTGCCGATCCCTTGCTCTCGCTTCTTCTCTCGCCTTTCGTCGCAGCTCTGCCCACCTCGCGGCATATTTTGGCCCCTCGAGTTTATCGAGCTCTCATCCTCGCGCAAGGACGACTCTTCTGACGCCCACTCCGATCATTTGCCGCCAAGTCATATCGTTGCTCAGGTCCACTCTCGTGTCGGACACTTGTACTTCCACAGATGATGTTGGCGCTGGGTTAAAAGAAAGAAAACAGACAACCCAAACGAGGGATAGGGGAGGAGGACAGGGTCCCCACCTCGCCACCTGCACGAGCAGGATTTTGGAAGGACGATCAGGGGGACAGGTGAGGCTACTTGTGAGGCTCTCCTGCTCCTGACAAGGGACACGACAGGCTCGCAGCGCGGTGCACGGTGGACTCCCACATCCACTGGCGGTCTCATCTCAGTCTAGCGACCTGCCTCCAGCTTCTCGCTGGCAGTCTCTCGCTACCACAGGCACACTGACACAGGGGTGCGGGTGGCAGGGGCGGCGGCAGCCGAGTCACCCACAAAATTTTCGGGCCTCACTAGAGGTGCGGCCTGCGCGTGTCCTCGCCCTTGGGAAGGTCTTGAGGGGAGAGGGAAGGGGCTGTGTGTCTGTGCATGCATGCATGTGTATGTATGTGTGTGTGTGTGTGCGGCACGCGTCTTTTTTCGAACAACTCGCCTTCGACACGCACGAGTGCACCGATGTATGTGCCGCCTTTTCCGCCCTGTCCCTTCTGCCAGCCCTTCTAGCAGCCCTTATGTCGAGCTCGAGCTGGCCGTTCGACGGGTCGTCGCAGCTCGGCGACGTTGAGGCGCCGCACGCTCTCGTGCACGCCGCCGCGTCCGTGGCCCGCGTTACTGAGGTGCCGGGCGCGAGGGCGCAGCGCGAGCTGGTCTTTTTCGCAACCGGACCTGACCACACGTCGGTGCTCATGACCAAGAATGCGCTCGCGATGCTGCGGACGGTCGGCCTCGGGAAGCACGCTCTCGTCCTCGCGGACTCGGACGACACGTGCAGCGCCTTTGCAGGCGCGGCCGCCGCCACGCAGCTGCGGCCGCAGGTGCGTTCCGAGCCGCTTCCGGACCCCGCGCAGGTGGCAGGTGCGTCTGGTCGTCGCGCGTGCTCCGCGAGAAGCCGGCCGACTCGATCACCAACAACAAGTTTTGGGACTGGCGCTTCAAGTTTTACTATGTCAAAAAGGCCTACCTCTCGCGGCTGGTCGCTGGCGGCTTCTCGGTGATCCAGGCGGACACCGACACCGTCTGGAGCCACGACCCGTTCCCGGCGCTGCGCACGATGGGCGCGTCGCTCGTGGTGATGCGCGAGTACCCGACGATCGCGAACGCGGGCCTCATCTACGCGCGGCCCGGCTCGGTCGAGGCGCGAGACTTGCTCGACGAGGCGAGGACCGCGGCGGACGCCGAAGCTCGCGCCCGCGCTGCCGCGTCCGCGACGCGTCCGCGGCGTGCCCCGCAGGTCGCGTGGCGGGTGCAGCTCTTCCAGCACTATCCGGAGGCGGTGCGGCGCGTGGTTCACTTTGCGAGCCCGCCCTACTACGCAAACTCGGACGACCAGACCATCCTCGACGACGTGCTCGTCTCCGCGGTGCTGCGCAACCGCACCTTCCTCGGCTCGACGGCGCGCTTCGAGGCGTCCACCCGCTACAAGCCGGCCGGCCCAAAGTGGGACCTCCTCCCCGACGCGAGGCTCCTCCGGGCCGCGCGGGTGGCGTTTTGGCGCGCCGCCCGCTACCCGGGCATGACCATCCCGTGGCTCAACGGGACGCTCCCGGACGGGTGCGGCGGCCAGCGATACGCCGACGGCGCCTTCGGCGCGACCACTGCGCGGTGCGGCCGCGCGAGCCGCGTCCAGTCCTTCCCCGCCTTTGGGCTCGGCTCGTCGAGCGACTTGGTCGGCATCGCGCCGCGCGCGCTCTTTGCGCTGATGCCGTACAGCGACCTGAACGCGGTGACGCACCTGACGGCGGCGCGCGGCTTCAGCGCGAAGAAGGCGCGGCTGAAGCAGATTGGAAAGTGGTTCGTCGAAGAGCGCGAGGCGCCGGCGGACGAGCCGCCGAGGGGGGGCGGGGCGGCGGGCGGGGCGGCGGCGCGCGGCGGCCACCGGGCCGCAAAGGCGCTCCACCGTGCGGAGAGCGGCCGGAGAGGGAGGGGCGAGGGGAGGGTCGAGGGGAGGGTCGCCGGCCGCGAGGGCAGGTCGCAGCAGGTCGGCGGGAGCCAGAACGCAACCTCGCGACGCGGCGCGCACCAGCCGGAGGGCAACGGGTTGCACCGGAGGCGGAGGGCGGGCGATGCGGAGGAGCGGCGCCGCCCGAGGGACCGAGCCGCTGAGCGAGGCGACCGGCAGAACAGCAGCAGCGCGAAGGGGTGGAAGGGGGCGGCCGAGCAGCGGCGCGGAGCAAGGGGGAGGCAAGGCAAGGCTGCAGAGGCGGGTGCGGCTGCGGCCCCTCGGGCCGGCAACAGGTCGCTCTGGGCGCCACTCCTGAACCTGCGCATGCCCAAGCTCGCAGGTGGGTGAGGTGGAGTGCGAGGGAGAGCGAGACGTGAAACAGGGCAGGGGAGTGTGCATGCATCTGATGTCAGAGCCTCTCAGACTGTGTGGGCACTGTGCACTTTTTAATGTGCGCTATATGGCGAGGGAGTGCTGCGTGTGTGTGTGGAGTGTGCGTGCAGCGTGGGCCATAACAGGGCCACATGCGTCTTCTCTGCTACGCGGCCCACCAAAAAGAACAGAACGAAAGCAAGAAAATGAAAAACGCGAGAGGGAGAAGCTGCCCAGGGTGCAGGGGTGGAGACCGGAGTGGACAGGGACTGGGAGCTCATGAATTGGTCTTGCCGGCTTTAAGCATTTAAGGGGAATCTCTACGAGTCTACGTATGTATCGTAGCCGCATCGTAGAGTATTTACAAGAGAGATCTTGAGAGCCACAACCGCTGCCAGAGCTACCGCGTCAAACGAAAGCGACGCGGTGAGACCGGGCATTTCGTGGACATCTCGACTTTGGGAGATCTCAAGGGCAGGACCAGAGACTGACGTGAGATCTGCCCCTGCATGTGAGGGGTCAAACTGCGGGGGAGTCGCCACACGAGGGCAGGCGCGGCGAGGGCAGCGGCGACGGGGAGAGGTAGGCGAGGAGGCCATCGCAGCGGCGGAGCTGCAAGGCGCGCCATTGGGCGAGGCGCTTGTCGGCGGCCACGTCGACGGCCTGGAGCTCGGCGGCGAGCTGCGAGCAGCGCTCGACCAGCGAGGGTGCGGGGAGGCAGCCTGCGCTCGCCTCGAGGGCAGTGAGCTCCTCAGCTACCATCCACACTCGGTCCGCCGGCTCGGGCGGGGTGGGCAGCCTCCGAGGCGAGAGGGCGAGCGAGGCCGGCCTCGGCTCGGCCTCGCCCGCCTTTGGGCGCCCCTGCCCGACTCGACGCCCGACCGCCTCGAGCGCGCCGTCACGTGTCCGAGTCCGCCCCTTGGCGGAGTTGACCTTGGCCGTGGGGCTGGAGCTGTCAGGGTCGGAGAGGCGCGAGAAGGGGAGGGAGAGGGGCCGCCCGCAGCACGAGGAGGGTCGGGCGGGGCACCGCCGGGCGAGGAGGATCATGGCGGCGAGGGCGCCGGCGGCGACGGCCAGCGGCCACGCAAGGCCGTAACCGGCCTCCCCTGGTGCGTCCCGAGCTGCTCCCTGGACGAGGCCCACAAGGTAGGCTAGCGCGGCCGGCGGCGAAAGCGGCGGCGGCAGCGGCGGCGGCGGCGGCGGCGGCGGCGGCGGATGCGACGGCGGCGGCGGCGGCGGCGGCGGCGGCGGTGCCGGCGGCGGCGGCGGCGGTGCCGGTGCCGGCGGCGGCAGCGGCGGCGGCAAGCTCGGGGCGGGCAGGGAGGGTGGCGGGGAGGGCGGCGACGGCGGCGATGAGGGCGGTGCGGTGGGGGGAGGGCCGAGCGGCGGCGACGGTGGCGGCGGCGGAAGCGGCGGCGAGGTGAGGATGATGCAACCAACATCAAACGGCGAGCGGCACGGCGCGGCCTCTGCGTGTATCTTGTCGTTGCAGCAGAGCTTCTCGCCGCCGCTGCGCGACGTGCAGCCCCAGTCGTAGCCGCACTCGCCGCAAGAGGCGGCGCAGCACGCGGGCGCCGCTTCGGGTGAGACGATGCCGCACGAGCACGAGAGAGCGTCCGCCGCGAGGCCGGCGGCGCAGCTTTCCTGCTTCGGCGCGAGAGGCCCGGGCAGCCGGATCAATGCGTCTCGCGCCACGAGGACGGCGTTTGGAGGGGGAGGCCGCCGCGGCGGCGGCGGGGACGGCGGCGCGGGCGGGGACGGCGGCAGCGCTGGCGGGGACGGCGGTAGCGCGGGCGGAGACGCGGGTGGAGACGCGGGTTGCGGGGACGGCGGCGGCTGAGGCGGCAGCGGCGGCGACGACGGTGGCGAAGAGGGTGGCGCAGTCGGCGGAGTCGGGGGGTTGGGCGGCAGCGGCGGCGGCGGATATGGGAGGGCGGCGGCGGCGGGTGTGGATGTCGTTGCCATACACATATACTGGACGAGCCCCAATGCCTAGGGCGCGGGCGGCCCGACCGGGGGCCTCTGAGGGGATCGCACGTCCCGCTCCAAAGTAGATCTACAAAATCGTGACGCCGTGACCGAAAAACACAACCACATCGACAGTCGAGAAGGGAGAGACAGTGGATGGTCTTGCCCTCGAGAAGGTGCTCGTCGCATAAACGCACAACCCCGGGCCCGAAATCGCACAGTGACAGTCAGACATGCAACACGGGGCCCACCCTATCGCCCCCCCCCCCCCCCTGTTTGCCCCATGGCCGTCAGCCTCTTCCCACCTCTCTCTCTTCCGCAGTCCCTCGCGGTCCCACCCTCGTCGTTCTCTCTTCTGCCCCGTCGTCCTCAGGTCGTCCTCTGCCTCATCGCTCTCCTCTGCCTCGTTCTGCGACGCCGCAGGCGCCTGCCGAGCCCTTCATTGCTCTCGTGGCTTCTTTCTCTCACTCACCTTTCGGCGTAACTCCGCTCTCCTTGCCGCGACCCGAGTATCTCGGGTCCTCCACAGTTTTGCGGAACAGACCAAAATGTATCGTATCTCTCAGTTTGTCGAGCTCTCCTCTCTCAAGAGAACCAGCCTTCTGACTCCCACTCCGATCACGTAAAAAAAGAAAGAAAGAAAACAGACCACCCAAACGAGGGATGGGGGAGGAGGACAGGGTCCACACCGCTGCACGAGCAGGATTTTGGAAGGACGATCAGGGGCACAGGTGGGGCTCTCCTGCTCCTGACAAGGGACACGACAGGCTCGCAGCGCGGTGCACGGTGGACCACTCCCAACTCCACTGGCGGTCTCATCTCAGTCTAGGGGCAGTCTAGGCTCTAGCGACCTGCCTCCAGCTTCTCACTGGCAGTCTCTCGCTCACGTAATAAATAAATAAACAAAGAACTGGACAAATACCAAATTCCAAATCGCAAACATAAAAACCCAAACACAGGCGGCGACGTGGCATACGAGCTCATAGGAGATGGAGGCGGGCACAAGTTGCAAAGACGCACGAGCGAGCGAGACAGCAGCCATGATGATTCAGCGCAATAAATCTAAAAAACCAAATGCTCCACGACAATGTTTTCTTCATTTCCTCGCGCCAAGATAGCCAACGATATGACGCTTGGAGCCTCGCCCGATCAGCTCCGGCTCTTCACGCCCGAGATCTTCTGGCACGGGCGCGAGGAGGGGAAGCGTTTCGTCCCCGGGTCGATCCAGGGCGTCGACGTCTCTGCGTCGGGGCTGATCGCCACGGCGGGCAACGACAGCAAGGTGCGGTTGTGGCGGCTCGGCGAGGCGCCGCCGGCAGAGGCGGCCGAGGCGCCAGCCGTCGTCCTCTACCAGGAGCTCGACGTCCACGAAAAGGCGCGCCGCGCCGCTCCGCGCCCCGCCACGCCCGCGTAGCGACCACTCCCTGCTGCCACCGCCGTCACCGCCGCCGCCCGGGTCAGGCTGTCAACGCGGTCCGCTTCTCGCCCGACGGCGCGACGCTGGCGTCGGCTGCGGACGACAACCTGATCATCCTGTGGAGGGACACGGGGACGCGCCAGCAGGCGAGCTTCGGCTCGTCCGCGCCGCAGGGCGAGGGGACGTGGAAGCAGCACTGCGTCCTGCGCGGCCACATCGACGATGTGTACGACCTGGCGTGGTCTCCGTGCGGCGGGCGGCTCCTGTCGGCGAGGGCAGCCGCGCCCTCGCCCCGACGGCGGACCGCCTCGTCTCACGCCTTGCGCCGCGCGCCTCCCCGCAGGGCTGCGTCGACGGCAGCTGCATCGTGTGGGGCGTGAGCGCGGCGGGCGCTGCGGGCAAGGGCGTGCGGCCGATGCAGCAGCAGCTGCGCGACCACGAGCACTACGTGCAGGGGGTGTGCTGGGACCCGCGGGGCGAGCTCGTCGCCTCCGTCTCGTGCGACCGCTCCGCGCGCGTCTACAAGGCGCAGCCGGCCGCCGGCAAGGGCGCGGCTCCCTCCTTCACCTTCACCTGCGCCTACTCGATCCAAAAGACCAAGTGGGCTCGCCCCACGCCCCGCCCTTCGCCTCTCTCCCGCTCGCGTCCCCCCTCGCCCCTCCCGCCCGCCCCACCTCGCCGCCTCCCTGCTTCTCGCCCAGGCGCGTCGGGCTCGACCCCGACACGACGGCTGCCGCATCGCAAGCCGCCGCCGCCATCGAGCGCGCCGCGGAGCCGGCCGCCGCCGACCTCCCGCCACCCAAAGGTGAAGAGCCGCCGGCCGAGGTGGCGGCTCCCGCCGCCGCCGCATCGACCGTGCCA